ATGTTCTTAGACTCTGCATGAGGGAAAATGATAGCTTGTATGTGAGTCTGACACCTGCCTCAAAAAGTTTACAAATGTCAGATATCGATGCTGAAACCCAGAGATGATCACCAGCAGCTTAGATAACAGCAGCAGTTTTACAAATAACTGGGATGGGACAAACTTTAGCATCCTTCCATGTTTGTTGCACTTACTTAGACAACAGGGAGGGTGTATGTGGCAGGGTGTATGTGGCAGGGTGTGGCCAGCGGTGCCGCTGCAGGGTAGGCAAACGCACCTCGCTGGGTTAAAACACTGAACGGGGTCGTATCATATCGTTGATATGTTGAGCTGGCAGTGGGAGAGCTGCAACTCCTCCCGGTTCTCATCTATATATGTTCCCCCAGTTCTGCAAGCTGTTCGTTCTCGTTTGCTTGCCCCTCCCTCCTTGTTCTTAATTCTTTAACTGCTTCACTTCTATTCAGTCCATGAGGATCTGCCAGGCCCGGAGCCGTCGCCAGTCCCCCTCAAAGCCTTCCCCAAACTGCAGCTCAATTCATGTCCAAGCATCACCTTTACCTATTAAAACGCTGTCAGACCTCAAATGAGGACGTGGGCCCAGCGAGTGAATGGCAATTATATTTCATTTCACTTATTTCACACATGGTTCAACAATGTTTCATTTTCCTACATACAGATCCTCCTTCCCACTAATATAACACTGCACCTGTGGGTGAAAAAGAGCAGGAAGAAGAATAAATTCTTGTTAGCACCTGCCCCCCATCTGCAATCTAATTATTCTTACAAGAGGCGCCAACAACTCAAAAAACCCTCTAACATGTATCTTTATGTAACAATGCAAAACTAACAAATCAGTATAATCACAATATGGAGCATTAAATGGCAATGAAATGTTCTCCTTCCACATTTAGCCCAAATTACTTTCATGTTCTTCATATTGATTTATCCTGTTAAGTATGTAACACTTTTTAAACGGTACGTGTTTGTACAGCTCTTGAGATTATCGTGAAGAGATTCTTATACCTTTAACTGTCAGACACATTTGTCTTTGTGAGGTCAAACTGATGCTTAAAGTCAAACTTCCTTCTGCTGTCCCCACTTCCTGAACACAATACAACAAACTTTGTAACTTAATGTATTATTTCTTGCCTTGAACATGAATAATAATGTCTGTGATTTCACTAAGTCTTCAAATTTCAACAATTTCGATTTTATAAACAGATTATTTGTATGTTCTCTATATTTAACATTATGAACCATTCGTACCACTTTCTTCTGTAACAAGTATAGAGGATTTATTTTAGTCGCATATGTATTCCCCCACACCTCAGCACAATAACTGAGATACGGGGGAAATTAGTGAGAAATATAAAATACACATTGCCTTATAATCTAGTCTCTGACATTACCCAGAATATAAATATTTTAACCACCTTTTTTCTAACATGTTCAATATGAGATTTCCATTTTAATTATCCTCCAATACTACCCCCAAAAAACGGAGTTCAGTAACTCTGTCAATCAAAACTCCATCAATGGACAGAGTTACTTCATGCTCTTTTACC